GCAGAGGGCCTTCTCGGTAGGGGCACCTACCCTGTGGAACGCCCTCCCACCAGATGTCAAAGAGAACAACAACTACCAGACTTTTAGAAGACATCTGAAGGCAGCCTTGTTTAGGGAAGCTTTTAAGGTTTAACAGACTATTGTATTTTAATATTTTGTTGGAAGTTTCCCAGAGTGGCTGGGGAAACCCAGCCAGATGGGCGGGGTATAAATAAATAAATCTCTGCCTTGTGATTCCTGATGTCAGATTTATGTCCATTTATCCTTTGGCGTAGGGTTTGGCCTATTTGTCCAATATAGAGAGCTGAAGGGCACTGCTGGCATTTGATGGCATACACAATGTTAGAAGATGAGCAATTAAATAGGCCTGAGATGGTATGTTTGATGTTGTTGGGTCAGTGATGGTGTTGTCTGGGTGTATGTAGCAGCGAAGTTGGCATCTGGGTTTATTGCAGGCTCTGGTACCAGGGTCCATGTTAAGTCTGCTTGCTGTATTATTGTGGGTGAGGGGTGTGTGTGTAATAATGGATGAACACCAGATGCCTGCATTTTTGTATTCTCTTTGGGGGGATGGGGTTGTCATGATGGACTCCTGCACAACTGATATCACCGCACAACTAGATAGCATAGTTTAAGACCTCCTACTGTGATCCTTGAGAGCTCTGCCAGGCAATGCAAACCAATGATCTTATTCTGAATAATGATCTTATTCTGCATAAGACAGCTTCATCCATAGAGGTATAGTGCCTCTGAAGCTATCATGGACATGTAAGTGGACTTTCATAAGTGTAGCTGAGGTGGAACAGGTAGGAGGAGCTATAAGTAGAAGGAGCTTGGGACTATGTGACAGGAGTGGCTTGGCTGGCTGGATAGTGCCTCCCACTTTCAGGAAACAGCAGAAGTATCTGCCATTCCTCAGCAGCCAGGAAACTTTACATAGCCTGAAGATGGGACAGCAGATCATAAAGTTTCAACAGGATGGATGTTTTCTACTAGCCTCAATTGGGCTGCAGAAAAGCCCTGTGTTTACCCAGTTCTTCAACATGAGGTTAGATGAGAACTTGGCTAATCAATCTTATGTGGTGTCCAAAGCAAAAAGCCAGCAAACTCTTGAGACACAGCCAGAGAGGCCTGGGAAGAAGAAAAGAGCTCACAATTCTCAATAGCCATTTGTGTCCTACTAGAGATGTCCTCATCTGAACTATGTGGCTCATATTAGCACTGCTGCAAGAGTATACCAAACTAAGGGAAATTAACACATCAGAGAGCGGGACTTGGCTTATGTTGCCCACTCCATAGAGACAGAAAAACACAGAAACATTAACTAGCTGGGACACAATCTTGTAGCGGAACACTAGGAATTATTCTGCTTGAATCCCTGCTAAAACAGGGGGAAACCCATATGAGCTGTTCAGTCATGTTTAATATATCACTGTCAGATTTGTGCAAAGGTTTTGTTTTTCAACATTCAGGTTTGTGTTGACTGTAAATCACACAGTGGAAACAGTCGATAAAAAGGTATTGCCTCACAAACCTGAAACATCAGATGGGAATGCTTTCATGTTCAGATGGGTGGTATATTTCAAAGGCTTCAAAGATCAGCCCTAAAGCTGTTGTCACCAAGGTTTGAAAAACCAACATCCAACTAAAATAACAATATCTACGAGTGACATTAGTTAAAATTTCCAGCAGCAACTACAAATTACTGGTTAATTTTGCAAGTTTAGATCTGGATGCAAATTCCAAGAAGAAAAAGATGATCATGTTGACCCAGAATGGAACAACCGAAAGAAAACCTAGAACCAGAGAAGGCATTTATATTTATTGGATTTGCATTCTGTTTTTATTTATACTTCTAGGGCAAGACTGAATGCAGCATGAGTAGGCATCTGCTCACTTCTCTTTCCTGTCCTCCACCCTGCAGTTTCCACCAGCAAAATCTGCTCTGAACTTTAGAGACACTGAGGACTGGAGGGGGAGGTTGAGAAAGCCAATGTTCTGTTGCACAAGCAGGGTAACATCACCGAACACTGCCTTTCGTTTTACTGATTCCCAGAAGTTCAAAGCAGGCTTAAGATAGGTAAAGTGTGAAAAATGCTATCTACCTTCCTACACACTTAAGCCAAGTCACAAAATGCCTCTTCAGACAGAATGATCTTACAAAAGTTTCAAAGTGACAATGGGTACGAATTTAGACATGCTATGTCCGATGTGGTACAGTCCTGCCAGAGATCATTCCACTGGAAAATACTCACTAGGTTAGACTGACTGGAAGCACTACTCATCAAGATCTCCCTGCATATGGAAAGTTGATATATTTTTTATAAGGGGACTTAGAAACAAGTGATTCCCATGCACATTCCAAAATGGTGGAATCTTGGGAGAAAGTGAATAGGGGAAATAGAACAAACACCCAAAAATGTAACTATGTTTTTACTAAAAATTGTACACTGCTTGAGGAACTTCAGTTGAAGTTAAAAAACTAAATATTTGATTAAATCGCAAACTTAAGTTTTACTTAGTCCCCAGAAGAATAGCAACATGAATGCTCATTTGTTTTCTGAACTTGTAAAACAGACAAACTAAGAAGAGTGGGCTTGTTTTGTTCTCAAAATCAAAGGCAAGAAAAAGTATCTTCCATGAATTTTACTGGAAAGGACCAATGAATAATTTCCACCAACTCCAACTAATGATTTTGTATGTTGTAGCAGAAGAATATTAAATATATATTAAAAACATTAAAATACAAAAAGAAGTCAGCTGGGAATTCATAGGCAACTAAAAAGTATCACTTAAGACTATACCCAAAGCAGATTCACAACCCCACCCGCCCACCCCTTTCTGTCATCAGAATTCCAAGTTGAATTTAGAGTCTCTCTCTCTCTCTCTCCTTTTGACTTAACTCTGCTTCCATCTAGTGGTCAATTGGAACACTTGATAGGAACTTTGTGTAGTTGTCACTGACATTTCACAGGGCACTTTTAAAGCTCAGTACACTTTATCCTATGGGACGCAGGTGGTGCTGTGGCCTAAACCACAGAGCCTAGGGCTTGCCGATCAGAAGGTCGGCGGTTCAAATCTAGCAGTTCGAAAGCACGTCAAAGTGCAAGTAGATAAATAGGTACCGCTCCGGCAGGAAGGTAAACGACGTTTCCGTGTTTTGCCAGAAGCGGCTTAGTCATGCTGGCCACATGACCCGGAAGCTGTCTGCGGACAAACGCCGGCTCCCTCGGCCTATAGAACGAGATGAGCACACAACCCCAGAGTCATCCGCAACTGGAATTAACGGTCAGGGGGGTCCCTTTACCTTTACTCTTTATCCTTAAAGCTCCAGATTCGGAGTATGGGAGCGTGGTACTCTATATATTGTTGCAGTTGAGCTCTAATCAGCCCCAGCCAGCATGGTCAGAGGTAGGTCCAGCAACATCTAGAGAGCCACAGGTACCCACCTGTGACTTAAAGACACCAATAAACTGGTGTGATCAACTGTTAAGGAGAAATGGGTTAAGATCTTCCATCAGGTATGAAACTCACACAATACTTTTGGGAAATGATTATCTTTCAGCTTAACTCTGTATCCACTACCCCGAGCTCCTGGTAGCATACAAACATGATCAATAATATGTTTAAATATAGACTGGGCATTTCCAAATTCTTTCCCAAGAATGCAAAAAGGTCACAGGAAGAGATGTGGGAATGGAGGAACCGAGAGCCAAGTGATGACGGCACTCCCGTTGTACCTGTTGTACCAATGTACCTGTTGCAGGGTAACTCGCATGTGCTTCCAATGGCTTGGCAAAGGACAGTACAATCTGGTTCCAAAACTCTGAAGTTACTTGACAAACTACATACATTAGTTCCGCACATACATCATATTAAACCATAATTCAAATCAAGCTATGGTTTGATGCAAATAAGCAGTGTGGTGGCGCATACTGCTCAAGTGTTCCCAAAGTCCAGCTTGCTGTGCAATCCAAACCCAAGGTTACGGTGTGCTTGCTCCCAAGGTTTGTTCTTGCCTGTCACTCATGGTGGCAGACTCAGTTGCACACCAAGGGAGGAGAGCCATGGGAACTTTTGACCAGCAGTCACCACCGTACTGCTCATTCACATCGAACTATGGTTTAATGCTACATTCAAACCAGGCCCACTACATGATGCATGGTTTTGTTTTAAAAAGGTGTACTTCATTAAAAGGTAAACCCTGACAGTTAAGTCCAGTTGCAGACGACTCTGGGGTTGCGGCGCTCATCTTGCTTTACAGGCCGAGGGAACCGGCGTTTGTCCACAGACAGTTTTTCCGGGTCATGTGGCCAGTATGACTAAGCCGCTTCTGGCGAAACCAAAGCAGCGCACGGAAATGCCGTTTACCTTCCCGCCAGAGTGGTACCTATTTATCTACTTGCACTTTGAGGTGCTTTCAAACTGCTAGGTTGGCAGGAACTGGGACTGAGCAACGGGCGCTCACCCTATCACAGGGATTCAAACCACCAACCTTCTGATTGGCAAGCCCAAGAGGCTCAGTGGTTTAGACTCTTATTTTAAAGAAAAAGTAGTGGTGAGCTCCCTGATTAGGAATGTGTTCCTGTGTTGGCCCCTATGGTAGCTCCCTGCTGAAAATTCACCTACCCAACACTGCTATTTGCCTTCAAATGTGCTGTTCACTGAAATTAAACAGTACCTTGAGCAAACTGCCACATAGAGGAAGGAATATGTGGAGGCCCAATTCAGACTGTGGTCCCACAGCTGCTTTTTCTCCAAAACAGAAGTGACCATTTGAACACTAACATAAACAATGTAACATGTAGTTCAACCTTCAGATGGAACACAATAACAACTTTATCAGCATTTCACTTTACTTATGCCACAAATTTACATTCCAAACACCACAGTAAGAGTACAGCCTATGGCCACTTATCCCTTCACCATGTTTTTGAAATAGTTTTCCTGTGGTTATGGTTTATGATCATTTTAAATGAGAAAAAGAGTCTTAGCAGTACCGGCTTTTGCAGTCGTCCAGCTACATAGAGTGTCTTCCAGTGAAGCAAATCTTCAATCAGAACATCAGTACTAATAACACCATATTTTATAACCTGGAACATGCAAAAATGAGAGCTGGATCACATTAAGTGTAAATAAAAGACAAATATACATCTGCCAAAATATACAAAAGCAAAATAGGTTTGCACAAAGGCGGAATCTTTTGAAAATTCTTTTGGGGAAATTATTCTCAACGCACGAGAGAGGTAGGTTTTTTTTGTATCTTTTGCTAAGAACCATCCTAAGAAGCAGCAGCGGGGCACACACTGCGAAGTCTTTTTCATCAGAAACTTTCCATGGGAAAATCACTTATCTCCCCTGTTCTCCCCATAAGCCTTTCTGCAGAGTCTCTTATCTAATCTTCAAGGCGCCTCTTGATATTTAAACAGTTACCTCACTTGGAGTCCCAAAACTAACCTAGTTTTGAACCTATCTTTCATGATGGAAAGAGTCATAAAAGTTGTTTTATTTTAACAAAATCTAAAACAAAGATTAAAATAACCACAATTTAAATCAATTAATCCTGTTTTCATAGAACATATTGCCTTTCAAAAGAATTTTCGTCTCAGTAATAAAGCTCTCACAGAGCAAAAGCCTGAATGAGTCAATAACTAAACTTGTGCACTGGGGACAAACCCAGATAACAGCAAAGATGCCACCTATATTACTTACCCTGCCATTACAAGGCACTAGTGTATTGTAGTAAATCCCTGCTCCATAGTTCTGGACGTTACTGATTGGCTTGGGCCCAAAATATTTTAGAAAGGAATAATGATTACGATTCTTTAACAGGTTCATCATATGCCATGTCACAGAATCATCAACAGCAAACACAAAGTCCAGCATATTGTTCTGTAAAATAAAAAAGACGACAGAATGCATAGGGTTTTTTTTGCTTACAATCACAAGACACTCCTGAACCAAGTTAAACACCAGAAGGCAACATAAAGATCTGAAACAAAAAAACAACAACGAAGAAACACATAAGAAAACACACACACACACCCCTGCAAGCAAAAGCTCACAAAGCACTTTTGTCCACTCCGTGTTGCATCCAGATTAAATTAGGTCCCATTCAAATCCAGACTAAGGTTTCCATTAAAATCAGTGTGAAGAGTTAGTCATTTAGTCCCCACTTTAATTCAATGGCATTTAAGTGCAGGCTTTGGATTGGACACAGGCTAACTATAGAGTACAGTGGTACCTCAGGTTAAGAACTTAATTCGTTCTGGAGGTCTGTTCTTAACCTGAAACTGTTCTTAACCTGAGGTACTACTTTAGCTAATTGGGCCTCCCGCTGCCACCGTGCTGCCGTTGCACAATTTCTGTTCTCAACCTGAAGCAAAGTTCTTAACCCGAGGTACTATTCCTGGGTTAGCAGAGTCTGTAACCTGAAGCGTCTGTAACCCGAGGTACCACTGTACATGATGCATCAGCATCTGATGGCACTTAATAAAATTCAAGCCTCAGTAGTGTTTTGATACTTAAAGGAAAAATTGAATCTGATACTATGCCCAAGACGTTCACTTACAACAGTGATTTTCAACCAGTGTGGCATGGCACCCTGGGGTGCCTTGAATGATGGTCAGGGGTGCCACGGGCAACACTGGCCCCTGCCCCTCTCTCTTTCTCTCCCTCCTCTGATGCCCTCTTGCATCCTCTCCCACAAGGGGAGGATTCCCAAGGAGAGGAGAGGAGGCTGACACTCCACAAGGGAGGGTGTTCAAAAAAGGGTGAGAGGCTGCCAGATCTGCAGGCAAGGGGTGACCTAACTGGGCTCCTGAGCCCCACAGGGGTGCCGCAGAAAGAATGTAGTTGGTCAAGGGAGCCGTGGACCCAAAAAGGTTGAAAACCTCTGACTTAGAACAATTCCACTGATAACCCAATCAATACAACACCACAGGCCACTATTAACTCATTATTCACTATGGCTGTATTAGGAACCATCTAAGAAACAAACGGTTAAAAACAGTTGAAGCTAAGAGAGATAGGATTGCAACCTTAGAATGAGCCTTAAACTTAAAGGCTGCCAGACTCTAACCTCAATTATGAGACTGTGGCTGCACAGTTTATTGGAAGCAAATCCCATTATAGACAGTGATAGCTATTTTCAAATAAACATGCATTGATAGACGCTGCTAGGTGCTGGTTTCACCTGCAACTAAAGATTGTGTTGCATGGATGGTGCTATGAAGCATATGGCGAAAAAACGAGGGGAGCTCTGTTTTCCTGAGCTCATAAGGGCAGAATTGGGGAAGGGTAGGTTATTCTTAAAACACACACACATCCCAGCTCCTTGCTCAGGAAGGCTGCAGAAAGAACAACTTCAAAAACGGCCGCCGCCGCTTGATCGCTCGCAGGTTTTACAGCTAAATAATAGGCATAGGACTCGCCCCTTCCCGTCCTAGGAGTCTATTCCAGCCCCACTTACCCCCGTTTCCGCGGCAGAGGCCCCCGCTTGCTGAAAGACCCCGGACCCATAAGCAAAAGCTAGGCTGAGCTCTTGAGGGAAATGAGCCAGGATCCTGCGGAATTTCACCGCCGAGCTCTGCAAAGCCATGCGGCCAAAGTAAACAACGTGCGCCTTAAGCGCGCGCGGAGTCTTCGCAGGGCAGACTCAGCAGCTGAGGGTGCCGGGCGGAAGCATCACGTCGCCCAACGTCCACGCCAGTAGCTGAGGAAATACAGGGTTTGAACCAAGAGGAAACCAAGTAGGCGTTCTGAAACCACAGCGCCCTCTCTGGTAGAGAGCTGCCTCGGGAGGCACCGCTTTCTGGCGCGCAATCCAGTTTACGCAGAAAATACCCTGGGGCCTGAGATCATATAAACAGGGATAGGAGTGCAGCCTGGCAGGAACCAAATTATATAGGTAGGCAGCAATGCGAGCAGAACTTTTCTCAAGGTTCTTTCTGGAGCAGAGTTACTGTTTTGGGGACTAAAGGAACCTGATCAAGTTTTTTATCTGTTTTTTATCTCCCCCCCCCCCACAGATTCAGAAGATGGGGAAAGGCTTGATCCCCTGGTTCACTTCCCGCAGCCAATGCAATTGTTTAAAAAAATGTGTGTGTAACTGTGTTAGGGTTGCATATCCCATGAGGCAGATCCCCTAACACAAGGACTTGGTATTGCACAAGGAAACTTTCCCTTCCTCTCCTTTCCCCACATATCCCCCAAATCTGTTCCCGGGTTCTCAACCCTCTGGAGAAGACTTGGAGGGCGCAGGGGGGAGAGGTTCCATTGAATAAGTGGAAATTCTGCATTACTATTTCACTGCATAATGCCCTATATTGTATAGATAAGCAAATATTAAGGGAAATGTAATTATTGCCTATATACCTTCTTATTGGACAAAACAAATTTGACTGAATTGCCCAAATTACTTGTTATGTATTGAAGTTCTCACCCTGGCCAACAGGAGTATCATGTTTATAGTTTTCACTCAGGTCCACGTCAGTTACTTTAGGTAGGAAACCCTGGGTTGTTGTTTTGACAGCCGGCTGCCTATAAAAGCAGGCTAGCTGAGCTGTTTGCTGTTCAGTTCTGTTCTGACCTGTGAATAAACAAGAGCTGTTTGAAGAATCGCTGTGTCGTCTGATATGTTCACCCACAACTTAACATTACTCCTGTACCACTGTTTGATCTAGAGGGATTCCAGCGACAGTTTACTTAACAATCATACTGCCGAAGCATGCATACTGGATATATTGAAATTTTTAAAAGAATACACACATCATTTGAGGGTGTGTGTTTGGATTTCATGCAGCCTGATCCTGTTGCTGCAGTCCCAGGCATCTAGGAGCAAATGCCACTGAACATTTCTGCTTAACATAATTGTGGCTCAAGCTGTCAGAAATCTTCTATGACCTGCCAAGCAGTAATAATATATGTAGATACAGATGGTCCTACTTGCTCTGAACTACCAAGCAATCTCATCTGATTATTCTGAATGTCAGATTGGCTATGAACCTCGGGGAACGCAGGGAGCTGATAATTACTCAACCAGCTACTGTATGCTGCTGTCGGCAAAGGGTGATACGAAAGTTATTAAAAGCGTACAGCGAAGCTTAAAGGGGTGGCTGCTCTTTTGCATACATTTTCATCTAGAGAGCCAAAGGACCTGCAGTACCTTCTGAGGAAATGTAGTCAAATTCTTTGAGAAAGGATCCAGCAATGGCTGTCATTACGGCTGGATCAGAGGCATTAGGACAGTGATTACTAGCTGCCAGCATGCAGAAGCTGGTGGGCTTCCCAGAGGTGTCTGCCTGGCACTCTAGGCTAGAGGCAGAATCCTGAAAGAAACTACAGCTGGAACACCATTATTTTAATGCTTCCCTTGTGCATGTTTTTTTTTTTAAATTAAAAACAACAACTTCATCAGAGTAGCAAACTAGCACCATGTGGAACAGATTAAGCTATAAGCTTTCTCCCCAATGCACTGGTTTTCATTTACAGGTATTTCTTCTATGCCCAAGAGTGATGGGAGTGCCTATGATTCTACAGAAACATGCACCAAAGAGTCCAGACACGACAGCAACTTAGAGAAGATGCTCTCTCAGTAGATGCCATTCAAAACTGTAAGAGACCGTCTGATTATTATATCTTTGAACAGGCAGAATGGTATGGTTGGCGGTGCTCTAGCATAGGGGTAAGCTAATGGCGTGCCCTCCAACTCCAAGCAGCATTTAGCATGGCCAATGGTCAGGGTTGATGGGAACTGTAGTCCAGCAACATCTGAAGGGTGCCATGTTGGCAACCCTTGGTCTAATGCAGCCTTTCTCAACCTGTGGGTCCCCAAATGTTGCCGAACTACAACTCCCATCACCCCTAGCTAGCAAGGCCAGAGCTCAGGGATGAGGAGAGTTGTAGACCAACGACATCTGGGGACCCACAGGTTGAGAACTGCTGGAGGACTCTAATGGATACCTGGGTCCTGAGCCTTTTGGGGTTTTAGAGATAAGCATCACGTTCCTTCATCCAAGCTGCTGCTGACAACAGCAGTGCTTTGAAGGAAAGGGTGAAGCCGTCCCTGTTCAGCCCTCTTTGTTCAGATGGAGGGACAAGTGTAAACGGCTCAGAGTTTTATGCATCTCTAGGTGAGGTTTAGGCAGCCCCACATAAACCAATAATGTGTCCAGAACCTCCATGATGTTGCAGAGGATTATGGGATATATTGTTGTTTTTATTCAGTCAGTAATTTCTGGAAAAAAATATGGCCTTTCAATTTTTGGTCCATCTGGGTGAATATGAATGAGAGTTTCCAGCAAACTAGCAATGTTACTTTAGCTGCTGGACCACCTTCCTCTTTATTCAATCAGCAGTTAACACCACTGGGATGAATCCTTTGTGCTTTCTGTGTCTATAGCAACACATTAATTCTTTTCTTCACGACCATCTTGTTTGCTTTCATCACCCTGTAATTGTCATTATCTGCTGTTTTCATAGTTGTTACATCACACCGGCTCTTGTAATTATGTAACAGTAGGCCAAAGCCCCCACATGAGGGCTTTGCAATTATGAATATATAATTTCTGTTTTCATCTCAGATTTTTGAAACATTTAAATGAGCAAAACCCTTTGAGGAGTCAAAGCCGTTGGCTTCCCAGACCCAGAGTATTCAGTAGCTGTTTCAGGCAGATATTTAATTCCCCAGCATATCAACTCAGACTGGTAATTCATGGCCCGTAATCCGGTTGGTCAAGTTTATATTAAGAAATGAGTTTGTAGCTTTTCTACCTTTGTGGCCTGTGTTTTCATTCTATTATTAAGGCACAGTGTGGTACTAATTAATCATAAATTTAGTTGATTAAAAAAACTTCAGGGCAGCACTATGGGAATAGCCAGGATTTTTGTTAGGGGGGAACAGGACTTGGCTGAGGGGCAGAATTTTTGTTAGAGGGAGCAGAACCAATGTGATTGGTCAGTTAAGTATCTGTTCTTTGACTTGATTGGGGGGGGTGGCAGCTGCCCCCCCTTTGGCTATGCCCATGGGCAGCACCCAGGTTCTACTTTGAAATCTGAAGCAAAGTGTATTAGGCAAAACATAACACAGGATGCAACAGGAGGGTTGGAGACTTTGTGGGCATAAGAGGAAGTTCTCAAGAGTGTCATTGCACCCACAGGTATCACTCTGGAGACCATAGGTTTCATTAGTTTCTGGCTCCCGAGCTGTGCGGTGCCTTAAAGATAAGCAGCAGCACTTGTAAATGGTGTGTGCTGAAGTTGAAAATGCATCATGGACATTATTTAGCTGAACAGCATATAGAATGCAGGCTTGTGTGAATCAAGATTCAAGTATTATGACCAGCACATAAAATCCAAACCTATGTGGATCAAGTCTGTAGTTTCTGAAATCAGAGGCTTTCCAATAGCACATTCCATAATGTGATTTCCATTCACTGATATGCAGACTGTGATGGTGAATTGCTCTGAGGGTTGCATAGCATGTACTGTAGTTTAAACAACGTAATGCAGAGTTCTATATTAATCTCTTACACTTCTACCTCAATATAAAGCATATGTGACTAAATGTGAATCTCAAAACTGGCAAGAATGCTTTCCTGATGTAATAGCCATTTCCCACTCCTTAGCACAGAGAACAAAATTGGTGTGTGTGTGTGTGTGTGTGTGTGTGTGTGTGTGTGTGTAATAACAGAGTTTTATCCTTGGGCTAAATCCACAGAGGTAGGGAACTAGAGTATTCCAATAATAAATACTGTATGCTATAAGCATCCAGCTGCAATTACAAACAACTACCACTTGATGTCCTCTTTTCTCAAAACTATCATAATTTTTTCAAAACCCTGCTGTTGCTTTTAAGGTTATTTGTGATTCCATTGAAAACACCCTTTTTGTGCTGGATTGGTGTTGCTAGTTTTTGTTGTCATGGTAACATATATGCACTGTATTGTATATACACCATTTAGAGCACATTAGTCCCACTTTACAGCCAATGAATACTGAGGCTAGAAATACATGGCCAGGGCAAGATCAGTCAGTAAATCTACGGCACTAGAAGAACAGCTGAATAATAAAATAATTTCTCAGAGTACAGCTAGCCTGCAACTTACACACAATTGACTTGTGCTCATTCAGCTTTGAGCGCTTGGCAAAAGTATATACATAAATATATAAAGGGGGCAGAAAATGAGCAGGCAACCAGGCAAAAAAGACTTTGGTAATCCTACCCACCACTGCATCCAATGGGTTCTGACTATATGCGATTTTGGCTTTAGGCATGAACCCTGAAATATTACCCCTATGTAATTTGAGGGCTTACAAGTGATATTTCCATAGCTGTGAACTTACAGATTTGAAAATAAGGGACCAGCAGCCTTGAAAATAAGGGACCAGCAGCCAAAATAAGGGACATGCAGCCTCACCTGTTCTAGGCACTCCAGTCTTCCTGTCTTGCAGTCTGGTCAAACTCATGCTGGTAGCTTCGAGAACACTGTCCAACCAACTTTGTAACCAGAGGTTCAACTGAATAGAATCTGAATCACATGCACCACAAGGCCTATGCAGCCTCAACTTAAGATGGCTCCCTGGCCTGGCTTTGCACTGCAAAGTTTGCAGCAGCACGTGCAACAAAATGCCGTCCAGCATTCAAAAACACCCTCAGCTTGCATTAACTAGCCACACACAAGGCATGCAAGCTCCACCCCCCCAGTCGTTCTTAGACTTCTTATTCGGTGAGCAACACATCCAAGCAACACAGTTGGAGCCTCCCTCCTCCCTGGCCGGCAGGGAGGGAGGGAGAGGCGCTGCTTTCTTTGAAATTTAAGGGACATCATTTAAGGGACATTTAAGGGACATCCATCAATAAGGGACAGCAGCGGGACATGGCACTGGAATAAGGGACTGTCCCTTCAAATAAGGGACACTTGACAGCTATGTATTTCCTTTCTTTTCCGTCTCCTGCTTCCCCAGACACATAGGTTTCAGTAGCAGTTTGACTATGAACAGCTTCTCCTTCTCCCTCCCCATATTTTAATGGCATAGTAAGGCCATTCATAGGAGAGGCTCCGTTACAAAAGACACATTTTCATAATCACAGGTGGGCTCACAATCCTTCTCCACCAAAGAAACCCCCCATTCCTAGTCTTGTTCTACTTCCAGCACCCCAATGCATGATCTATTCGCATTTAAGGCTCCAGCACAGTGGAAGAAAGCACTTTTCATTTTGTAGCCTTCATGCTAATGCTTTCTCAAGAAATTGCTGTGGTGGGAAAAGCTGGGGGAGGAAGCAATTATCTTGCCCAAATTCCTCCTGCCCTCCAGGGGGCTGTGAGAAACAGAGAGAGATAGCTGTACAAAAAGCATCTAACAGCACAAACTTTTACACATCTACTTAGAAGTAAATAAACGAGGCCAGATGGCACCATCTGCTTTCATGCACTTTTTAGGCCTAGGACCTGCTGGACTGGTTACAGGCGGGTTACAGATTTAATGAGAAGAGGATAAAATGTAGGTCAGCGTGACTTTAATGGGGCTTCCTCCCAAGTAAGTGAGCCCAGGAGTGGAACTTACTAACAAAGAGAAGACCTTTCAGAGGAGCATGATCATCAGCAAATGCTTCAGCTTCAATTGCTCCAAAATGCAGCAGACAGAATTGCTGGATGGGGTTCATTTCAGAGCACATATAACCCCTGTTTTGCCATTTCGTTTCCAGGCCCATTCAAGGTGATCATATTAGTGTTTAAAGCCCTAAATGATTCAAAGCCCAAATACCCGAAAGAGTGTCTGATTCCCTACAGACCCTTTTGGGTGCTAAGATCTGCAGAGGATGCCCTCTTCTTGCCCTCAGAAGCTCAGGGTAGCAGCCCAGGAGGGGCTATTTGTGGCCTCCCCTAAGTTGTGGAAGTCCTCACAGGCATGGGTCTGGTACTTTCATTATACAGCTTTCAGCGAGCTGAAATGTATATTTTTAGGACCCACCTTTTTTGTAATTTTAAGCTTTAAACTGTTTTTAATATGGAAGCTGGCCATTGGTAATATTTATTTACAACCCGCCCCAACTCGTTTTGTCCTGTCCCTGTTCCGCCCTCTTCCAGGTCCAAAATGACCAACGCGTTGGACACACGTCAATTGAATGCGTGCAAAATGGTCACCGCTTGTATAATATCTAAACATTCCTATATTGATTTCTATATTATTCTTCAGTAGAAATGCATTGAGTGATTTACATTGTAGGCTATTGATGTAATTAGAAATGGTCCTTGTCCTAAAGAGCCATATTTTTTTAAAAAATATAAATAAATTGGCTAGTTCAGTAGGCCTTTACCTAAGAGGAAGCACCATTAATCCAATGTGGTTTACTTCTGAGTAGACTGGGCTTTGGCTTGCACAGCAAGAAACTGGTCTGAAGAATGTGACATATGGTGTATGCTGGAACAGTAAAGCTGTTTAGAATGTATGACCTTCAGGTGCCTTTGCAGCCGATATGGTGATTCCTTGTTTGCAATATAGTTGATTCTGCTAACCTGCAAATTCCATTTAATTAGCCTTTAAATTTGAAACACTCCTGCAGAAAGGCTGTTCTTTACCTGCGTTTGGCAACTGCTTTTATTTCTTAGAG